TATCTCTGAGCAGAAGCTTGAGTTCATCTCTTCAGTTGTTGAGCATTGACCTCGTGTGTCTCTGAGCCCTGTAAAGAGGACAGAACTTTTTGGCTTGTTACCCGGTGTGATAGTTTAACTCTATCGTGGCAAAACCAGGACACCCTGAAACACAAATTTTATCCAGCACTATGAGTTGTTCTTGTTAGATGCGTGTACAGCTACACACCCGCGTGGTAAAATGTGACACTGTGGAGTCGTCTGTGCTCTGTGGGATCACACTGTCTGAAACCAGTTCGCCTTTGCGTTGTAAACCTTCTCAGTGCTTTTCTGAGAGTGTGTTTGTTGTTACCTACCTGTTATTAGCTGGATAGATCTGTTAGAGCCCAACAAGTCGTCGTGAAGCCTTTTCCTGTGTGTAGGGTACACGTTGCTAATGGAGATACTCCCTGTGCACAGTGTGTGGGTTCCAGACTGGCACAGCAAACCCTTAGTTCAGAATTTGGGAACTCTTCTGCTGTATCTCTATAGCAGGTGCCTGTCTTTGGAAGTGGCTTAAAGCTTTTGCAGTGAATGTGTCTGTGGAGCTGGGATTATGTGCAAAACTCCTGCCGTTTCTGTTAGCCACCGTGTGTATGTTTTTGGATAGGTGAATGACTTGCTGTATGTCCAAGGTAGAAGTGGAAGCATAAGCAGTAATGTTAAATAGCCACCTTTTAAAATTAGTATTAAAAAAATGACCCTAGTGATGACATTTTCATCAGGTCTGCCTGTTTTGAAAATTCAAACCAGTTTTGTGGGTGGTTTACAAGATGAAATAGAACAGAAGACCCGTAACACTTGATTCTTTAATTTAAAATGGCCTAATAATTTAGGCAGTAGCATATATAAAATATAATTGGGTAACTGCCATGCACATTCGGCTCCTATTCATATGAGAAGGCACTATGATTTAGGTGGATGTACTTGTTCCTGAGCTAAGGACAGGCATTTAAACGTCCTTTTAATTTAAAAAAAGCTTTCAGTTTTTTGGTAATCCTGAAAAGATTTTTTTTTTTTTTTTTTTTTCCCAAGTAAGCTGGATGTTCTGTGTTTAAATTAATAATACTTAATAATTATTTGAATGCTTGGAATTTTTTTGCTTGCGCACCTTTATAGAAAAGGGCTTTAAACCCAGTTATTTTCTGTTGGCTGGTAATTTTGTGTCGCACTAGGGTATGGTTGTAGCATCTGTTTTACCCAGATACACGTGTTGTTTGTGGCTTTCCCGGAGATTGGCTGACCTGTGTATGTAGTTGTGAAGACTGGTCTTGTCTGTGGCTTCAGATGCTTCTGTTTGATTTTTCTTATGCCTAAAGTCTGGGTCTGAATCTGGGTCTGTTTTTTCCCAATTAATTTCTGTTTCTGGAGAAAAACTCTTTGTTCACTGTTCATAAATTACACCTAGCTTCTTGTGAATTCATATGTTGTCCTGCAATTCTGTCTCCCTTGGGCTCAGATTATAAAATTTATTTTCTTCGTACTGCTTCCAGCACTGAAAGAGCATAGTTTATCAAGTCCTGAGTTTTACTTGGCTTTTCAGATGCAAACCTCTAAGACTGTTGGGAAAAGTGATGATTTCTTATCCTTTTGTCTTTAGCACCAGAAGGGGAAACAAATCCAGTTTAAACGCCTTGAGGCTTTTGTTCGGGATTCATGGCGCAAACACCGAGACAACGTCCGGCTGAGGCGCATGGAGCAGAGACCTGGGCAGATGGATGTCACTCAGGAGCCCAAACTGGCCTTTGTTGTGCGGATTGTAGAGTAAGAGACTTTTGTTGCTCTTTACCTTTATTTTGTAGCTGTCATAGAGTTTCTAAGCAAAGGGAAGTGTGATCAACCCAGACATGTCTCCTCGCAGGTAATCTGAGACCTTTTGTTGCTGTATTAGAGAAATGTGGTTACTCATAGTATTTTTTTTTTTCTGGCTCAGTATTAAGGGAGTGAGCAAGAGAGTAAAAAAAGTGATTGAGTTGCTGCAGCTGAAAAAAAATTTCACTGGAACATTCATTAAACTGACTCCTTTATCACTGAAGATGCTGCGCATCGTCGAACCTTATGTGGCGTGGGGGTGAGTACCAGTCCCGTAACTTGCTAGTAGTTTGTATGTAAATATTGTAGCTTTTTGATTCTCCATCTGGTATCACAAATCCATAGCTGGCTTTTCCAGTAATGGACAAAACTTTGTCACCTTTATATCTAAAACTTGTTGTTGCCCCTTTTCTCATTGTTCTAAACGTAACTTGGTTACTTTCCCATCTCTGTACAAAGAAGTAGGGTAGGACTTGCTGCTGCATCATGTTTCTGTTACAGAATCTGATTTTTGTTTTTGCACAGATACCCTAACCTGAAATCTGTACGAGAGCTCATCCTGAAAAGGGGCCAAGCTAAGATTAAGAAAAAGAGGATGCCTCTGACAGATAATATGCTGATAGAGGAACATTTAGGTGAGGAAGAAGATAAGAAAATGAAATGAATCGGGGAAAGAGGTGGATGTTGATAATTTGCAATCTGACCTAAGAGGGAGGGGAGGGAGAAGAATCTTGCAAAGCTTGTGTGAGGAGGCAGTTCTGGAGTAGTGAGGAGAGAGAAATACAGCTGGGCATCTCTTGAACATGTTGTTTGTGGGGGGCTTCTTGTTGTTTTAGTGGTTTATTTGTTTAATTTTTTTTTCCTGCAGGGAGCTGTGGTATTATTTGCCTGGAAGACCTTATTCATGAAATCTACTCAGCTGGGAAATATTTCAAAAGAGTCACAAACTTCCTCTGGCCATTCCATCTGTCAGTGGCTCGCCATGCTTCGCGTAACAAAGTGGGCTTCCTCAAGGAAATGGGCAAGCCTGGCTGCAGAGGTGAAGCAATCAACCAGCTTATACGTCAGCTCAACTAGTCAGGTGAGGAAGTCTCTTGTGTAAGTTCTGAATCTTGCCCTTTACCTGGAATAACTATTTAGAATAACTATACTGCCATCGGAGATGAGGGGGGCTCCTCTGGTTTTGATCCTGCACTCTACAGAAGTGACCCTCAAGGTAGGGGGAAACTAATGAAGAGTGGTGGGTCCCATGAGGTATCAGCAAATCCTGTTAGACATCTCCGTAAGGGCTAGACTTCTGGGAGATTGCATTCATGTGACTTTGGTTTTCCTTTTTATGTTCTGCAGGGTCTTTGTGGAAACTTCAGGATTTATAACCTGTTCTTTTCCACATGTAACTTTCATGGACATATCTCTATGCAATCATATACTACATCTCTTGTCTGTTGGTGCCTCTATAAAAAAAAAAAATACATCCAGATGATGATGGAGATGGACTTTGGGCTGGTTCTTCTTGAAGAAGATAACTTGTATTTGGTACAAGAAAGAAGTGACTTGAACTTCCCGGCGTAATCTGACTTTTGCACCTCTGTAAAACAAGGGGTTTTTTCATACTCATTACTGCTGGCTCTGTACCACTCACCTCCTGCTCTCATCCTTGGTATAAAGCAGTGGTTCTCAGTTCCTGAGTGGAATTTCTGTGACAGTTGACTTGCACTCACTGCTTTGATTCAGTCCTCCCCCAGGGAAGTTGCACTTCTTGAAGTGCACCTTCTTCTAGGTATAAAGGGATAGTGCAGTCACCTGTTTCAGAATATTGCTGACAGGCAGAAGGAATCACTAGGTATTGCTCTGTTAATACAGTGCAAGCCCTAGGAGTGAATAATGTAACATTTTCTTGAAGTATGTGGATTGTATTTATTTTTAAAAGCCATGATTTTGTGCTACTGATTTACAAAAGGCTGCTTTTTCAGTTCTGCTAGACTGGGACTGCTGAGGAACCATTTCCTGCTAGGAAGGCCCAGAAGCTTTTTAATACAGTAGTGGAGTATGCGTAATCAATGTTTTTTAAATAAACTTCTTAAATTCCAGTGTTACAACAGGAAGAGTGGTCTGTCACTCTAGAAGAGTGGGAAGAGTTAAATACTTTGGCTGAAGTGATTTTGGTGAAGGAAATGAACAAACCCATAAATGCCGTACAAGTTTTAAATCCTTAATTTCTTCCAGTGCAAAAATGGGTGAAGAATGCAGGAAGAGGTCTTGCTATTTAACAAAGCTGGAAGACAACAGTGTGCTTAATTATTAGGTCACTGTGACTGTTTCCACTGTTACTTGAAACTATTAATCCATGAATGGATTTCATATTGACTCCACGACACTTGTTTTGAGACTCAGAAGAAACAGGTAACCATACTGTGTGTGCAGAGAGGGAATTAAGTAGGATGTCTTTAGGGAATTAGTTCCGTGACAGTCATTAAACTAAGATGTAGCATCCATATAGACAACATAATACAACATACTACAGACTCTGAATTAAGAGAACACTATACAATTTCAAGCTTTATTCTGTAAAACAAGAATACAAACATAGAAAATGCTTGACAGATACTAGAGACATACACTTAGAACACCACAACTAGAGTTGAATGGTCATTAATGTACAAGGCTTCAGATATTTTAAGATTTTCCTGATAAACAGCTGCTTACATTGTAAAGAGGTACAAGGAACTTCCAGATTGTTCTGTTGATTCATTTTACAATTGTTTTTGGTAATAAAACAGCCCAGGCTTTTAAGATGAGAACTGGCATAGCAGGAGTAAGATTGCTTTAGTGCCAGATGAAACTTAAGCCTGCTAATAGAAAGCAGTTTATAATAATATTAAAAAACTAAATTACAAGATCTGAACACATTTCTAGCAATTAATCCTAGATTTAGGCAGTTTTTATAGTGAATGCAGTAGCTTAACACACCATTAGTTTAGCTCGTACAATGAAGTAAGAGTTGAGCTATCCCTACTAATACTTTATTTAGACCTCTAAAAACAATGCCAGCTTAGTCTAGTGTTAGACCACATGACCGTAGCCAGACTCATGGCCTTCTTTCTGTATCATACTTCAGCAAGAACAACAGTAATGATGTGTTCATGACTTAGCTGCGCTATGAACAGAAACTATACAAGGTGACAGGATATATACAAAACCCCTGCACGTCTTAGGGGAAGGAATCCTTTTTGTAAGCCACTATACTGTTTACTTTGTGGATTGTAGTAGTGAAGGAACGAAGACGAACCTCTTCTGAGTTGGCTATGAATTGTGGTCCTGACTCTTCCCACTTTTCTGGCACTGCCAAGTCTTTATCTGTGTAGATCAGCAAGTCAAAGGCACCTGTGAGCAAGGGGGAACAAATGAACTGTAATGCATGCATAAGATGGCATGTTTGAAGTGAAAATGCATCTTCTAGAACTTGAGACATGGGCCAAGCTTCTCCCAAATTATACTGATACTAGTTATGTGAAAAAAAAAACCTCCAGTAGTTAAAACATGAAAACAAGTCCTGGTTATATTCACTCCTTTCACTTTCCTCAAGTGAATGTGATGTGAATTTTTTAAAAACATGTTAAAATGCTGTGGAGCCGAGCTTCATGTAACATTTCATATGAAAATGGTTCATACAAGCCTGTCCACAGCTAGAGTCACAAAATAATTTATCAAAAGTTGCATTCCTCAGAGAACACATACTAGTTTTATTAAATTACTTAAGCCACCCTGAGTTCCGTCCTTTGGACAAAAAAGCTTTTAAGTATTTTGTGGAGAGAGTACCACTAGTCTCTTTAAATTAAGTTGCTTCGAGTTCTTTAATGAGAGATGGCACACAGTATTTAACATTTGCAATTATTCTTACTGTTTGTTGTGCAAGAAAAACCATAGGATAATTCTTAAAAGTATTTGATTCAACATCCTGTTTTCCATACTGTACACAACTGCAAGAGACATGATCTCAGTCTAAAAAAAATGCTGTCTCAGAAATATGATGGTATATGAAATGTAATAATTAAAAAGCCCTAGAAAATTAGCAGAAAATATTTTCTAAAGTGGAAAAATCATTGAGGTTTTCCACAACAAAAGCTTGATTTCTTTAGTGAAGTTATGAATACTCACAGGCAGTTTCCAACAGTGGCAGAAAAGTTACCGTGGCAGTTATCTGTCTGATAACAGATCGAATTTCATCCTGAATAGCTTTCTGAGATTTTTCACGGGGTGCACTGGAGAAATAAAACTCTGTTAAGAAAGCAAGCTTCTACTATACTGACAGTGTTCTTTAAATACTGCTCTCTCTATTAAGCTCTGTTGGTCTGTTTGCTGATGATTTTTTTATAGTGAGGACACTCTTAAGCCCTAGGTAGACAAGCTTAGAAAAGTTAAGTGATGGTCAGTTCCCTTTGATGTTTAGGAAGCTTCACAGTATTTATAAGTAATGTTACATTTATTCTCAGTCCAGGATGAATAAGAACAATAACAAGAGGAAAGCAGTAGTTCTTTAGGGGATGTACCTGAAACATGATTTTATATACTTTGTTGAAGATTAAAAAAATCAAGTTTTGATCCGATGCTTAAAAAACCAAACCAAACCAAAACCAAAACACCACAAAAACCCACACCTGAGGATTCTGTATGCTTCGATCATTTAATGACTGGTTTACAGACAAAAAGAAGGACTAGCAGTAAGAAAGGTAGTAGGTTTGGTAAGGCTGGGTGCTCAGACTGAGCAAAGGCTCTTGTCTGCTCTGAGGAACCACAACAGTGCTGTTGCACATGACGTTCACCTTGAGCCTGCACAGCTGCTGGGTGTGGGGGAAGAGCAGGCACAGGGGAACACCGTTACTCACCTCTCATCCTTTGCGGTTTTGTCACACTCTATGTCAAACTGCCACCGCTCCAGAACCTCATTGTCTTCCATACTGGAGATGACCACCACCAGGCGCTGCACAATGCACTTGT